GGCTTTAGGGTTTAAGGGTTGAGGGTTAAAGGTTTAGGGTTCAGGGTTTTAGAGTTTAGGGTTTAGGGGCTTAGGGTTTCAAACGGTTTCAGAAGTCATGGATAGATGCTACTAGCCCAAACGGCCCCAAGTATCTGTATGCTGTATAGTACAGTGTTGGGTTCCTATGTTAAGAATTTCAATTATGATTTGGGGAAGTACCCGCTATAACTGTACCTGGGACCCTTGGGTAGGAAGGTTTGACAACACCAACAGCTAGGCTACGACTGACCGGTTCTTAGTAGGGAATGGAGGAATGGGTTATTGCCTAGGGCCTAGGGGACCTTAAGGGACCTCTCATAGGGATCCATTCCCCCATTCCCTACTAAGAACCAGGGAGAGGAACAGCAACCTCAGCACCCTAAACCCTAAACCGTAAACCCGAAGCCCTAAACCTCAGCAGAACTCCTGATGCACAACCCGTGCCTTTGCAGAACAACGCCACACACCAGATCCAGAACCGACCCCAAAGGCTCGAAGGACTCATACTTTATATGGCTCTTGTGCGTTTAAAACCACACCACATACTTCGGGGCTGAGTACCCTAGCCCAAAAAAGGTTAACCTTTTGAATTATAGTAGGATCATAGAAGCCCCAAAAGGTTAAAGGTTACCTACTCAGCCCCTGAGTATAAGGCTTTTGGGCCACCGTTGAGCCTTAGGGAACCTCAACCGCACCATTAAACAAGCAAAAAACCCTCAGACGAATCAGCCCAACTGGCCAAACCCCCCTGAATCCTAAACCCCAAAACCCCAAACCCCGTAAACCCTACTTAAGGTTCGGGGAAGCCGTTAAGTAGCCTGCGTGACGTCCACCACGTCGGGTTTGACCCCCTGCTGTCGCAACAGGCCTCAGAGTGGTCTTCGATGGCTCTGAAACCGATCGTTTAGGGTATGAGAGGGTTTGAGGGTTTAGGGTTGAGGGTTTAAGGTTTAGGGTTTAGGGCCTTAACGATTGGGTGCCGAGCTCAGGCTTTAAACTTAGCATGGTATACCTTGGGACAACAAAGGGAGATTTGTTACCATGTATTCACCTGGAGAACCCTTTGTAGCATTAATTCTTGCTCGTAGAGGTTTTCCGCTCGTTTGAACATTTATTTTTTGATTAATGCACTTTAGCTCGTTTCGGGAGAGAATCGTTCGAATTGCAGAGAAACGCTCGTTTACACCCAGAAACGCACAATTGCTCAAAGATGCTGATGTTCATGATGCAGTATGACATCACGATCTTCACAGATCTGCCTGGCTCTCAGATTTTTGCCAGCACCGACTCTCGTCACAGCTTGCTTGTGAAGCTGCTCTTTGTACGAGCCTAGCATCTTCTGCATGCAGCGGTACGCACAGCTAAGTGCGTGCGTACCGCTCCTCCTTGCTGTCCTAGCAGCCTTTCCTATAAAGTCTTCGTCGGACCAGCACGCTTGGTCTTAGCTAAAGAGCAACCACAGATCGAAGTATGCAATTGCGATTCTGCAGCACACTTTGTGCAGCTAAGAGGCTCATAGGATTTAAGGCTTTGCAGCCACGCAGTCCAAGTTCCCGAAGCGTAATCCTAAGTTCCATACTAGCGAATTTCGAAGACTACATGTAATCGAAGGACTTCACAATATGCATGCCAATTACCGATAGGTCGCGTGAAATGCGCCTGCATATGCAGTTTGGGTTTCATACCAAACAGCTTCCAGGTCGTGGTCTCCTTGCATCGCCTGGCCAGCTGCGCGTAGCCAGCCTGAGATCAGCTAGGGACAGTTGCTCCCAGGACGGGTTGTTGCCACTATTATTGTAAGTTGTAAATGCCAGGAAACGCACATCTCATCTCCTGCTCTTGCAACCTGAATGTTACGATTCGCTTCTAGCCACAGGCCTTCTGCATGTAGTACGCGAAAATACCGGTTGGCACAGGCCACTGTACACTTCAGCATTTGAAACAGCTCTGCAGAGCAATCCTTAGCTACAACAGTTCATAACACTTGAAAGTTGCATGGCAGACTAGCTAATGACTGGCCACAATTGTGGCTCCGTGGGGTTTTGGGTTTAGGGTTTAGGCCGGGTTTATAGGGTTTAGGGTTATCCAAACGACCATTGAAAACACATTGCTTGCAACATCATCTAGGCTCTAGCCGTGATACAAAATCTTCTAGCCAAGACGTCATCAAAGCTGTGTCAGCTCCCCTTCCGCCGGTTGCATTTGGAAAGTCGGCCTTCCTTATATGTTATGCCATTTAAGGGACCAATACTGTACCAAATATAAGGACATAAAGAATCACCCTCAACTAAAATATGATAAGCTAGCTAGCTAGGATCTGCCCCATCTTGAACCCACTCTGGGAGAATCCCCTGATGTTAGTGGATTTCTTCTTGTCGCTGCACCAGCGGATGAAGTCACTGTAGGCCTTGCTGAGGCGGCTGTTCAGGCTTCGTCCAGGTAGCAAGCCCAGACGACAGATCAACACCACACCCGACGAAACAAAGTCCTTCCCGATCCTGAATCGCAGTTATTTATAAGGTAGAGCATTATAAACTGAGGGTACTCTAGATTATAGGATTTGGAGCCTACATGGGTCACAAGCTTATCAGCCTAGGCCTAAACCCCAACAGTAAACCGATCCAGGAGGGCTTAAGGTTAGGCCACGAGCCGGGTAGTTCGATAATGGTCATGTTGCTATCATAGAGTACATAGCCAACCCCCATAACCCCAAAGAACATGTACCGAATAAAAACCATGTTGTGCTAGATGCTGTCGAGTCGACCCCATGTGCCATGTGTGCGCGGGATCGACCAAAGCAGCCCCTGGATGATTGAGCCCAGGAATTCTGAAGAAGGGCGAGCCGCATCTCTTGAAAGGTGTCGGGCCCTTACCACCACTCCGCCACGGGGCATCGGAGGACATGTTGAACCATTCCTGGGATAGCACTTTGGGTTGCAGAAGGGTTTTATAATTGATCGATGCGTAGGACGATGATATAAATTATAATCAGGTCAAGAAGCATCACTGCAGCACAGATGACACTTGCGAAGGCACTGCCAGCCGGTAGTTAAGGCCATTGCCTTCCAATCATCCGAGTGCAAAGTAGGTGAGTTGCACTATAGAATATGTACAGTACATGCAGGCACTGATGTACTAGCTGGTTAATCCCACCTTCCTCAAGTACACCCAATCGCCTTTGATGCCGACGACGGCAAAGTGGATGTTGATAGGTCCCGCAGATGTCTCCACCTAGGATGACAAATGTGCTGCTAGCCTATCATATGTAGCTATAATTAACGTATAACCGCGGAATGTGTTCCAAAATACATGCTAGCTTAACCTAGCAGCCTGAATCCCTTCTGCATATAGACGGCATAGGTCTTCAGCGAACGCTTCATTCAGCTGCGTCAGCGTAGCATCAAACCAGTAAAGTTCAGCTGGAACGACCGTGTACAGGAATCGTGTGCAGTACGTGTTTCTTAGGTCGATCAGTTAAAGCCCAAGAACATGCACGAACCATTAAATACTTGACATATTGTAAAAAAATATATGGTACTATGGTGCAGAATCGAAAGACCCACTCGAGTTTTTGTAAGAATCTCCCCGGAACGAGATGCAAGGCTGGATGGCTTCCACCATGATTGGTAGCTTGTACTTTCCACGTCCTTCATCGCCATGTATATATAGAGGTACTGTGAGGTGGGCTGGGGCCGCATCGCACCCACTCATCACATGTGCACCATCATGATCGTAAAGCTTGTGCAAAGTCCAAAACTCAGTAAGCATTGCTTGCCATTCCTGCAGTTTCTCGAGTTCCAGGCCGCCTAGGATAAGGTAGCTGTGATTCTGCAGTAGGAACTTCATCCATGAGCTGGGGTAGATCACTGGATAGCACACATCCACCTTTTTCACAAGTGGCCTTCGCTTGCGTACAACCGTGTTGACAAAGCTGATTTCCACAGCCACCGAGAGGCCCTCTCTCTGAATCAGCCGGTGAAGGTTACGACACACATTCGAATTGCTCCGGCCAGCAGCTGACAACTTGTAGAGTAGGTCCAGTTCTCCTGGGGCGATTAATCATAAGCTAGTAACAATAAACTCAGAGGGCTGCAAATCCCAGAAACATGAATTGTTTAGGAGTTTAGGATCTGTGCAGCTGAAGCGGCGTGAGCCATCCCCAATCTTGCACACCAGCGTAGCCATATGTGCTGCTCCTTTCGCAGACTCTCCCTTAGATAATCCCAAGTGACCAAAGAAGACCCACAATATAATCTAGCAGGGGCACTCCATTGAAGTATTTCGAAAGAATCTCCCCAGCAGCTTCCTCATCGAGGTCATGATCTTCTTGCTGCCGAACAGAGCGCTCACCTCATTCCAAGCGGGTCATTAAAGGGTCTTTGATCACGTGGTGATGGGCTCAAAGTCTGGGGTATTTGTGGGATACGTTCTTAAGGCACGTTTGTGGGGAAGGGCCCTAGAGCGCGGTTATGTAGTGGCTTTGGGGCATTCGACCAGATCGCGAGGTATACCGTGTTTACAGGGATCGTAGTCTTTAGTTATTTGGGGATTTCATATTGCATGGGACCAAGCTACCGGTGGCCAAACGGGGAAGGATGTCGTTGTTTTTCCCCGGGCAGATACCTGGCAACATTTATCATCACTGCATGTATTCCATGGAATGTGAAAGCTGCACATTTGAAGCACGTACAGTGGACGTTTTGTCCGCAAGTTCCCCATTGCAGGTCCCACTCAGCTCGAATTTGAGCACACGGCAATCACATGTGAAGACTAGAGCTAGCCGTCTTGCAGCTAGCAGCACTTCTAGCGGCACCTGTGGCACAGCACAAGCTAGGATGGACTAAGCACGTATGGTCGATTGTGGAATCCCCGGACAGCTAGTTGCATGGGTCACCAGTACGATATGACATATATATCTCATCCTGTAATGCATCACCACAGGTAGCCTGGCCGAGACCTTTAAGAACTCACGAACACTTCTTCCTCTTTGAGGCTGCTGCTGTGGAAGCGCCGCTTTGCGGCCTCTTCCCCGGCTTAGCTTTGCCCTTATTGCTGGGCTTGGACTTGCCACTCTTGGGCGATGCATTGCTCGACTTCTTGCTGGGTGTCTTGATCGTCCTGACATGTAGGATGAACTCTAAACCCTAGATAAAACCCTGAACCCTAAACCCTAAATTAACCCTAAACCCTAAAGCTGTAGTCACAGAACTTGCAAATTGTAGCCTTCCCCGAATCATCAGGGCATTGAGAGCCAGGTCGAGGCGTGTGCACGATGCGTAGCACTTCAAGACTTCCTCCTTCGTTTTCCTTGCAGCGTGTAGTGGGTGGGCTCGGGGGTTTTTACAATCTAGCTACCCTAGCTTGCTGGAGCATATCATGCATAGCAATAGTGTCCTAGAAGGTGGTGTCCCGGCATCAAGGACAGCATCCGTCTGAATCCGCAAGAGTTCCTTGTAGTGTGTCTCCAGCTCGGTAATCTTCGGCTTCATGTCGTTGGCCAGCCTGAATTTCCCAGAATTGCAAGAGTTTCCGGGGATTAAACATGCATGCAATTCTGCATGGGTACAATGCAACAAAGATGCTCCGCACCACGCTTTTGCCCAGAAGCCATCAGCTTGTCCTGCCCGGAAGCACCCCGAAACAGGCAGTTGGACCCACCAGTAATTATAGTTAAGGCACCTGCAGCTCGGTGGCTCGGTCCACCTTCTTTCCACACATGTCGATGTAGACGGCGAGCACACCTGAGATAATATGGCAGGTGTTTCGTTTAGTATATGTAATATACTAATTGTAGGATCTTTAAATGAGACGAGTTGCTAAACACGTCCTGGTTTGCCTGCAGAACCGGAAGGCATTTTTCTTTCGCGCCCTGGGCAATACTAGTGGAAGCCACCCGAGCGAAGTTCACATCCCCGGATCCACTTGCAGCTTTCCTGAGGAATGCATCGTATGCATTGTAAGCTCCTATCCCACACACTCTACAACTTGAAATTGTTCTGCAGTTCGAACATTGCATTCTGGGGTCGACAAGGCATCCTTTTCCGTCACCGAGTCGGTCAGGAGAAAGCCGGTGCCATCCTGGATGTGTTTCAAGGTTCAGGGCCTATGGCTTTTATTATGTTCTAGTAGCTAATCTAAGGCTTCTGATTCGGTATCTGCACTGTGCTTATGTGCCAACTGGTTCTACTGAATGTCACATCGACCTGCTAGTCCTGGGCTACTCTGGATTTGGTTGGGTTGGGGTGTGTGGATCAGCCGCCAGGAAGCTGCTGTGCACATGATATGATGGTGGTGGCAATGAGGTGACATAGTTGATAAAAAACCGAAGACTGACGATGATAATGATCGATGATGATGAGCAATGACTTGGTCGATACTCCAGGATGACGCTGGTGATGATTCGATAAGGATGACCGATAATGCTAGGTATACACGATAGTGGTGGTGGTAGTAGTAGTAGTAGTAGACATCGCCGTAGCAGTCGTAATAGTAGATCGTACTGTAGCAGCACCTGCAGCAGCAGCAGCAGCCACCCAGCAGCAAGTCCTAATAATGCTTAGTCGAAGACCAATCATGTTGGAGTTAGTGCAGTAGCTCGGACAACGACTGCCTGTCTGATTGACCACCTGAAGTTTATTAGGGCCAGTTTAAGGGTCTAGGGTTTTGCATATAGGTTTTTTGGGGTTCTAGGGTTTGGGTTTCGGGGTTAATTTAAATGGGATCCATTAAAGGCCCCTTTTTTTAAACCACCATATCGGTCTATTTGCTATATAAGAATCGCAATATTAATATATAATATGGAGATGGATAGAGTTAGGGCTGTTGGCTTAGCCCCAATATATGCTGCAGCTAGGGTTTAGGACTTCGCGCTCAGGGTCTGGAAGCCTGAACCTCACCTGAACACACGGCCTTATTTTGCATGTACTCAACTCAGACTCACATCTCCAAACAACGAATCCTAAAGTTGCCGAAGTTTCCAAACCTTGCAAAGCTTAAGATCCCTAAACCTATAGCCCAAAAGCTATCCCTATAGTAGTTATGCGATTATGAACTCGAGATGGCATCAAGCTTTCACTCGAATCTGGAAGTACTTAAGGAGCCTTTGCCATATGTTAAGGCCAGTTGGGTTACAAGGTTGGGCAACATTACGATCACAAAGCTTTTGGGCTTTAGGCCTGGGATATGCATATCAAAGAATCTACAAGCATGAGAGTCCTCCACCTCGAAGGTTCCCTTGGTCTTGCTGCTCTGCGACGCTTCATTCGTGAAGGTGAACCCTTCGAACGTCGGGATCTTATACTCTTCAAGGCCGTGAACTTCGTTGTTCCGTATCAACCCTCGTGCCAAAGCCCATCTCTTTGCGTTCGCAATCATAGACCTTAGGGTTTAGGGTTTAGGGGATCAACATGATATGGATGTACAGTCACTGACATGGCTCCCAAAGGTGCGGTTGTGTGGCTCGGTCCATCCCTTCTTGCTGAGAGAAATCTCATTCTCCCAACCGCCCTCAACCTCATTCCTGGATCTTTGGGTCGAGATCTTATCTACCTCCACTTCAACGGACTTGAAGTCGCCGTGCTTCAAGAGAAGTTCTCGTAGTTTTTCACCTAGGCACTGGAACTTCGGAAGCATTATATGCTTTGCAGCTGCACACCTAATATGCTACTATATAGAGTAAGCTTCGCCCAGCGGGATCCTTGAACATGGCCATCGCTTGCTCCGAGCACTTCAGCTCCCCCTTCTTGTTCGGGGTAAAGTAGCGCTTCAGCCTCGGCTAATGATTAATGCATTCAGTTGCACTATATGATCGATACTGCAAGTCGTTTACTACTAATCATTAAGACTAGGCTCTTCCAGTAGGTGCCATCTGCATAGGACGAAGCTGTAGATTTGGAGCTGGGGGCTGGGGAGGGTGGCGGCACTGCAGCCGGTCCAGCAGCTCTGTCGGGTGACTTCTTGGCATCCATACAAACAGCAGCTCTGTCGGGTGACTTCTTGGCATCCATACAAACAGCAGCTCTGTCGGGTGACTTCTTGGCATCCATACAAACAGCAGCTCCGTTGGGTTTCTTGGCAGCCATACAAACAGCAGCTTTGTCATGAACAGGCGACAGAGTCTCAGTTGTTGCAAGAGATTCCACAGTTCCCGCGCGTAGTAGGGGTTGCATAGGAACAGAACCTTTAGCAGGCATTCCCGGTATGAACTGCCCCGCAGCGGCCTCCGAGTGCACGAGACCATGCACCACTCCTTCCGAAGCAAGACAAAAACAGACACACAGCAGGCACTAAATGATATAGTACAGCATGAGGGGAGGAAGAGATAGATAGCGAGAGAGAGAGTGGAAGGGAGCGACAGGGAAAGGGCTTGTATACCAGGCGATGTTTAAACTTAACATGCGACTATCGTGCGTGCTTCTTTTAATACATGCATGCACATGTGCTATATTTATATATGCATGTAAATATATTTTGCAATATGTCTTATGCAAGTATATAATATATACATATATATATATATAGTATGCATATAATATCTACGAAATACTCTAGTAAATATAAACTATATATATATATACTACATCTAGATCCACAAATATAATATATACATTATATATATAAGCTTGCAGACACACACAAGATTGAGTATCATATATATATGTATATAATATAATAATAAAAATAATATTAGACATGGCCGGTATATGTATAAATTATAATTATGCAAAATACTCAGGTCAATCTTAACATTCATGCATATTATATATATATACTATATACTATATATAGTTATGATATCGCATACACGTATACATATATATATATACACATGCATGGTCATCATATATATATATATATTATGCATATATATATATATATATATATATCTTATTTCGTGTATGCGTGGTCTTATACATGATCTATATGTATGGTCCACCCCCACATGTATAATGTATTCGCATGTGTGTGTAATCCACAAGCTAGGGTCCAGAAGAACAGGCTTGCAATACATATATCATGCATATATTAACACACACATATTATATAT